AATCGTATAAGAATTTTATTTACTTTCATTCAATTAATTAAATATAAAACTCAAATTACAAATAATTTTGTATACTAGTGAAATAAGATCAACATATCAATTTCAGATAAAGAATTTGAATAATATTGACATAGACAATGAATATGATGCCTCTCGAAGGAGTGTCGAAAATGCGAAAACCATAAATCCCATAATATATAAACGGAAAAAAAAAATCAAAAAAAAAAAAAATCTCATGACAGATAGAGAGTCGTAAAAAGAAAGAGAGGGGGCCGGGGGTCAGAAGAAAATGCAGATCAGAAGTGGCGTATGGGAAACTCAACAGTCACTCAACACAATAAACCCTTCTTTCTTTTTTACTTTTATGATATGAAACAAAATATAATGTTTATGTAGTGGAGACATCATATCATATGTATGTATATATGTCTCAATGGTGCTTGTTTTCCCTGGTTAATCCATGCCCCAACTCGACAAAGCATCTGAGAAAATATAAATAATGGTCAATTTGAGAGGTTGTTCTCATATTATCCTAGTGAAACTCGATATCGATCATTGTTCACAAATTTTACCCCTATGACAAATTGAGCTGTCCATACAGGTTGGTTAATTTTATTACCGACTTGCATTAACAATTTAATTTATTATATTTTTAATTTACAAAAAAATTCACCTTCAATTCGCTGCTTGAAGCAAGCCTTGTGACTTTAGTAGTCAAAGGACAAAGGAGTAACCAACCTAGGTTATTCATAGTTGATCGACTTAAATCAAAAAGATCAATAGACAACTCACACGAACTAGGGTATAATTTAATTTAATTATATTTCACCCATCATATTCTGGACTAGGCCGGATTTATTATTTATTTTGGTATATTATGATTATGTTTTGACTTACACAAATATCTAACTCTTCAGTATTTAATTGTAACAAATATTATGATAGTGAATATATAGTTAAACTGAACGATCGAATACATAATATAATTCAAATTTAAAGAATGATATGTTTTATTTTTCTCAATACAATGGGTTTGCATCATAATATTATAATAATCAGTAATACATTAGTAACTAATACTAGCTACTAGATAGCTAACAAAAAACTGAATATAAAATAGGCACTTTTGGATTAGTGTTGATTGGTTAAGATTTATGTAATTCAATTTCTTGTTACTTTTCTATCATTTATGTGGTATTACAAAAAGAATGAGACTAATGGTATGTTTAGTTCATTGGTTTAGTTATTAGGAATGGGAATTAAAGTTATTGTTATTGATTGGTTGACAGGTTTTTAGAACACGGGATTTGATTATCCCATTAATTAGAAAATTCATTCTCTAATAAAATAAGGGTTTCATTACATTATTTTCCCTCTTAATTGGTAATTTGATTTTTAAATTTGGATTAGTGTTTTTAAATTTTTCATTTTTTGTTTTATCTTTTTTTTTTTTGTTAATATTGGTGCTTTGGATGTCTTTATATTAGAATAAATTGTCTTGATTTTTTGTTATTGTATTTTAAAAACCTTTATTCCCATTATAGGATCATACATAACCAAACAACAATATTGGTAATCATTCCAATTCCACCATACTACCAAACATGCAAAATACTTTCACCAAAACTCATTACCATTACCAAGTATTTGATTCCCATTTCGATTTTGATTTCGATTCCCATGCGCGAACCAATTCAAACACACCCTAAATGTTGGAGGGAGCCTTGAAGGGTTTAGTCTAACATCTTGTTGTTAATTGAAATAATGCAGTGGATATATATATGTGCAAATATTAAAAAAAAAAAAAAAAGTTGCATTTTTGTTATTAAGTATAACATTTGACATAATGGTAAGCACTTGATCATCACGATTGGTATTTGAGCAAGTCATGGTTAACTTCACTCTTAACTTCTAGACCAAAGATAATTAATAATACATTCACTTGCTAAGCGAGTCATAAATAAAAAGAGCAATGCTATATACACTCTGTGTTAAGTAAAACATGCACCTTGCTTGCATGTCAAAAACAGGTTAATAGGCGAGGTACCCCAGACAAATTGGTCAAGGTGTTGATTTTGTAACCATGCATAAAGTTACAAGTTCGATTTCCTATCGATGCGGTCAATTGATCTTTTTCTAATTTGAGCTAGTTAGCTATGACTCCTATGAGCAACCTTGGCTGATTTGCCTCCTAGCTAGTGGTCCTTTTCTAGCTAGGGTTACAAGACGAGGTTTACTAGTGCACACCCTCGAATATTAGTTATGAATTTTCCTCGTCGTCCATAAAAAAGAATAGGCGGTTGAGAGAAAAGATAACTATTTATCCCCAATATATATAAGCTCTTGCTACCGTAAATAAAATATTAGCAAGATATGTTACACCTATGTGCAACAACCATGCATTTTCCTAAACAAAATGCATTCCACTTGCCTATTAAGTGAGAGGAAAAAGAAAATCTAGCATATATATATATGATATGATCTACCACAGGATAAAGTTTGTTGATATTCTATGGGGATTTTGTTTGTTTTTTTGGGTGGATTTGAAAATGGTTGTAAATGGTAAGAAATGATGAAAGGGTCGGAATTGGAAACCGGGTGCGGCTGATAGAAAACGAAGAGGGTTAAGTAAATTGGTAAGCATTGGCCTTTGAAGATGCTTTGAGCCACCTTGAAGTTTGTGAATATATGTATGTAGTGTATGTTAATTAACCCTTAGCTTCTATCTTCAATTCAATTCTAACCCCACTTCCAACAACGACAAACTTTTGTCAAACTTCAATTCCATCCATACAATAAGGGAAACTTATATTATTTGGGAAACAAGAACAAGATTCGAATCTTGGTAATGGCAGTGTATGGATTATGTTTAAAGTGGACAGACCAGATTTTTTGTGTGCGCTGATATTTGGTCATGTTTACTGAAGCATGAGACCTTTCAACGTGATTTACAATTTTTCAAATGTTTTGTCAGGCTGAAGTGTGAGGCCTTTGGGATTGGGGATTTTATGGGGAATAATATAAGGGAGCAAAGTAGTAGGACACTTGACAACCTTTATTATCTTATAATTAATTAATTATTGTGGCCTATGCTTTTTATTATATTGGTTCTTTTTTATTAGTTTTTGCTTTCTAATTAAAGTGACAATTTTTTAAATTTGGAAGAATAAAAAAGGGTGCCAAATTGTGAGGAAGATATTTCCGCCTTTCCACCGGTCATTTTCTTGTCCTTTGTTGCCAATGGAAATTGAGTTCCATTTGTGTGGCTGAATAATATTGTTGGCCTCCCTTTCCTTTCATTTTCTCTGCGGGCGAATTAAGACCTAATGAATCGAATCTGCTTTGATAAGTAATTCCTGGATGAGTAGTCTTTACATGCAATTTTAGGTTGTATGTATTTTCTTTTTTAAACAAAATATTCAAATGTACAAGTTAACATATTCTATATTTTCCTTTATTTAGTTTTCCCATTTTATATAAAAATAAAAAAAATTTCTAATTAGTAAACATATGTCTCATTCGTTGCTTGATCAGCAAAATAGGAGAAACATTACTTTCGCCATATTTCTATGAACCAAAATAAATAAATATGGGGCTAAACAAAAAATATCAAACAAGTTGATATTAATTAAAATTCTCTTTTTAAAGTTTGTCTTGATTGAAATGGTCTAATATTAGAACTTAAGTACTCCACGCTAAGATAAATAATCACAAGTTTATGGATTTTTCATCAAATTAAAGAGAAATGAAATTGAGCCCGTACGAACTTAGCTTATTGGTCTAAAATGGTCGGATCTTTTGTGTCCACTAGCATTTGACCCTGGGAGAAAGAAGAGAAATGAAATTGAGAGCTACCTCCAAAAGTGCAAAAAGGGGAGAGAAAATGAAGCCTCAAACATTATAAAGTGATGCCTTTTTTTATTGAGTCAAATATGAAAAGGAAAAAGGAGTAGAAGATGTGTAAAAGTGGTGTGCAAAGTGATTCATGAATCTTAAGATTCCAATGGGAATTGAATAATATATATATATATATATATAAAATATCCCAAAACATATATAGATTGAATCTGAAAGACCACCTTTAATCTACACATGAATGATTCCATGCACCATCCAAGTAGGCCAATTGAATTTTTGGGTGAAGGAATCTTTTCTAACACATGGATTCTTCATCACAACATTATTATGGGACTCAGTCATCTTTTTTGTGCTCTATTCAACTTAACACAAAAAAAGTCTTGATTGTGGAAATCTATATGATGAGTTATGTTGCTGGATCAAGGGTTTAATATATATATATATATATATATATATATATATATATATATATATATTGAAATACTCTGATTCTTTACAAGGTAGTATTTGTTCTATACTTTTTAAAGAGTCATTATCTTACCAATAATTGTCTATCATTCCACCAATTACATCATTGTGTCATGAATACACAGCACCTTCACTTGGCCTATAAAAGGTCATGCAACTAAGAAAAACGAGTCATCTTCATCTTCAGGCTCCAAGACAAACTCTCAAACACTTTCAACTATTCTAATAAATTATTCTTAGTTCGGACTTTCTATATATACATGTACAAACATATCAAAATATAATAAAATTTATTAATTATAGGAAGAACTTTTTAGTTACGAAGGACTGAAAAAGAAAAGGCAAGTAGCAGAGTGATTTAGTTGTCAAGCTTCGTGAAAGGGCTATTCACTGTGTATTTGCATCAATACAATAGTGGAATTTTTTTCTTGGTGATAGGAAAAACTCTTGATTCTTTATTTTTTATTTCTAACACATTATTTTCTCATCAATCCATATTTAATTTCACACAAACATTTGTTTACAAACTCTCATTTTCTACTCTCAACTTTTACTTTCACTTTCAAATTTTTGATGTAAACATATTTCTGAGAACCAAAATAGCCAATCCTTATTTCCTACATTATATGGAGTAAAATTTAAAAGTTTATAGTAGAAAAAATGAACACTTAGTATATTAAAAATGAACTTTAATTTATATCAGTGATTCACCTTACAAGTTGAATCATGATTCATGGTATAATGATTGAGCTGCGAGTGGGTCAACCCGAGTCTGGTTAAATTAGTCTTTTCCCCTAATTGTGTCGATACCAGTACACAATAAGCATTTAAAAAAAAAAAAAAAAAGAATCATAAAAATGCCATCTTTTCTATTGAAAATCTATGGTAATAAATCTAAAGCAGCACAAGAGCAACCTACATCTTAACCGTTCAAGAAGTTGAGACCACATCCCAGCGCCATATAGTTCCATCTTCACAGCAGCTAAGAATGGTGCTGCACCGCAAAAACAAAGATACAATCACTTGCACGTTTCCGGTTCGTCATATTTTAAACGCTAAAACAATCAAAAACTCGAACGAGACTCTTTACCTCCTGTCAAAGGACACAGCAGTCTGTCTAATCGCAGATTTTGATTGAAAATGAGATAGCCTGAAGTGAAGAAAGCGCGACTGAGATGTAAAACATGAAACATATAGCACAGGTTTTGCGAGTAATAAACAGTGGGGTAGAGCAGACAAAACCTCGCAATTAGAACAGGCGGGCTGGTTTGCAGATCCCAAAGGTAAATCTTCCCTTCCCTATTCCCTAGTAGATTGAAAATCAAAAGGAAAAGATTCGCACATGTATTTAAGGAGAAACTCGATAACAGAAAAGTTTACTCGCCGAAATGATTCATTAACCAATTGCAGGCAGAGATAAATGGTAACGTCAAATTGAAAAAGAATGTTTTCATTTTACCTATAGCTGCTGCTTTGTATTGGAAATCGCATGCGAACTTGATGAACCATATGTCGCAATCTGGGACAGGATACTTTTGAAGGATGTCAACCGTACCCTTAAACAAGATCATCGAAGCACAGGATTTTCGTTAATCAACCAGAAATGTAGTGAAATAAAAGAAACCCCAAAAAGAAATCCTAACCTCGCCAGGAGACTGTTCTTTCATCTTCGGTTCCCATAATACAATCTCGTTGTCAACACTCTGAAAAAATATAATGCCAGAAAGTTGACAGACATATGCACTAACAACATGAGTTTGTGTCTCCATAACAGACGATAGGAGTAACAATTAATGAATCCAAAACAACAACACCAAAGTGTTAATCAAACAGAAAGATTATGTGCCATGATGAAACCTGCAACAATAGCATTTTAACAATTCTATAAAATCGTTGAAGCTGTCCATCACACATAAACATACAGCTTCAACATGCAAACTCGAAAGCTCAAAAAGAACGGATTCAATCAAATTCAGTCTAAAGCAGGGACCAGACGATGTTAAAGTTAATGGAAAAATGCCCTCAGAAATCAGATTCCAAGCAATCATACTCTTAAAAAAAGTTTGATATATGTAGTGTTTCATTAAAAATTTCAGTTTTAAATTGATAATAATGGATGCACGAAACAGGAGATGTCATTCACCTTTGACAGGATAAAATTTCCCAGCCACCTGTTGCAGTCAACATAGTTCGTATGGATGGAAGCTATGAACATCTGATGCAATAAAAGGAGGAAAGTTCAGATGCAGCATGCTAAATAATCCTGTTTAACAGTAAATGTGATAAGAAAGAACATAAAATATCAGCAACTTACAGGAAACTGTACATATTTTGTGGGGAACTTGGAAGGAAGATCAGTCCAAGTAAATGATTTCTCCACATAAGGCCAGAATTCTGCAGGCGCATTCAATGTGTTCGTCACTTCATTTCAACGATTAAAATAAGTAAACTTTTTTAAGCTATCAAATATGTCACCTTTCATAGACCAGATCTTAACAGTATTATCCATCCCACAGCTAGCAATGCGATATATATCAGAAGGATGAAAGTCCTACATAAATCACAGAAATAAAGTTCTTGTGCCCATATAAGTAACATATAATCTCTATCGGAAACATGAACTCCCCACCCAACCATGCCCTCACCAAGAGCTAGAAGAGTAACTTACCACACTGAGTACTTCATTGCGATGACCACCAGCACCAGCAAATATCAAAATGCATATTCCAGTTTGAACATTCCACAACCGAACTGACTCGTCCTGTGGCCGACTCTTGATCATTAAGCACAGCATAATGCCATATATATATATATACACACACACACACACACAAGAGGGGTAAAGACAAAGAAAGATAATTGACTGCATACTTTGCTTGCAGACACAACAAGTGATGGTTTCAGAGCTTGAGTCCTAATTTCATTTATTGAGTCTCCATGTCCAACAAAGCTCTGCACAGTCATTCAAAATATCACCGAAATAAACAGAAAAGTTTAGTAGTGTGGTTTTGGAATGTCATTAAGTATTCACAATTAACTAACATTTAGATCCTATTAGGCAGCGTTCACACTAATGGATGGCCCAACTCTATGTCTTGTACTTCGGGGAACAAGAACAGTATTAATTTTTCTAAACTCAGAATTCATGTAGAGCTCAGAATTCAGTAAAACACCTTGTGTATCTTCTCATTGCCAGAATCAATAACACGGATAATTCCATTGAGTCCTCCAGCAACCAAGAATGGGGTCCCATCAATACTGCATGCCCAACTGACAGTATAAAAGGATTCATCTTTCTGATCCACCAAGAACACGCAAAAGGCAAAAGTTCTTTACATATACAAGAAGATATATTTAATAACTGATTCAATATTCTCCGAACAAAGAAGACAAAGAAGAGTCAAGTTCCTTACATCTTCATCAATGTAAGACTGCAGCACAGCAATGACTCCACCTTCCAAGCATTGGTATACAGTCACCTGAAAAGCAGCCATGAGTTCGAAATATAAAAGTCAGCTCCATCCATGACTGTTTTTAACATAAAACTTTATCCTGGAACAAGTCTCTAGTTCTTGCATTATCTTTTTTATTTAACTTTTTCATAAATTTTGAATAGACTCAAACTCATTATGATAATTCCCAAAATTGTTTGCTCATGCGATTATCTGAGTGGTTCAATGCTAGGCAAACCTTTTCCCTATGATCCAGGCTACTGAAGAAAAGTGGATAAATATAATACAGAGGAAAACAGTACATGAATCCAACAGAACATTAGTGTTGCCACACATATGAATCATGAATTTAAATGATTCAAGAATCCAAGGTCTAGACACAACAAAAAAGATTATCAAAACTATCAAAGTATTGTTCTACGAACATCATAAAGTGTTATGGAATAAAATTATTCAATTTAGTGAGTTCATAAGTCTTCTTCCTTCTTCCTATTGAACTTTCAATATTTATATCAATGCTATTAAAAACTCCAGAAAAAGGTTTAAAAAATGAAAGCAATTTGTAGTAAGTATTTATCAACATGTATGAGTATATTCAAAAGAAAATGAGCTACATCTGGAAGAACCTAGCCTGATAGAGAATAGGGACAACCCAAAAGAAGAGGATTTTTAACTGAATAATAACCAAAATACAGTTAATTATATACTCCATAGTAAATTACTTGGTTTTCACCACCTTACAGTGGCAAAGACGTTTAAGTAAAAAATCAATGAAGTTGAAACCATTGAATATTGATTATAAGATTATGAAATCTATGAGTTTACCTTCCATTTTCTGTATGAGTTAAAAAAAAAAAAAAAAAAAAACACATTTGTTGAGCTGTGAAAAGAACAAGTGATGATATGAAAAATTACTCGATTGCCACCAGCGGTAGCGAAGACATTGAAGTAACGAGAATCAATGAAGTTGAAAACAACAGCGTACAAGGGGCGTTTGCCTTCTTGGAGCCTGTTGGTAACCCTATACTCTTTCTTCTTCGAGGGCATCAGCGATCCCACCACTGGCTCACAACCTATCGATGTCTTAGCCATTCCGGCCGCAGACCCACCACCTTAACCTGCTTAGCTCACTCCACCGGCACACGTTAACAGTCTCACTCAATCAGCACAGAGTGCATAACAAATCTCCAATTTCTCTCCGACAATGTTGTACAAGTGTTCTTTAACCTGTAAAAAAGACTACTTTGGTCAATATCTAGGTTGTGTTTGGTTGGAGACTTTTGTACCCTACTATGGGATTTTATACCCATTACCATGTTTGTTTGTCTACGTTTGCTATCCATAGATTCAAATCCTTAAGTAATTATAAAACCTATTACCATTTTCCTTCCCTACTTTTGAACAATGGAATCAAAAATGATGAAGAAAAAATAAAAAGGTCATTTTTCATACATTAAATATGGAACTTTAATATATATACACATATATGTATGTGTATATATTATATGTAATACATATTTTTATATATTTATTTATTTTTATTTTTATTAATTATTTATTTATTTATTTTGATTCCAATTCCTATTTACTACGAAACAAAGGGACTCTTTCTACTCAAACTCATTATCATTACCAAGTATTTAATTCTGATTACCATTCCGATTCCAATGTTTGAACCAAATGCACCCCTAGTTTTACAAGTACTCTTCAAGTTGGGCTTTTTCTTTGTGGCTTTTTGGTTGAACTATCTCTTACATAGTTACATCTGTTTCTCACTCTTTGTATGCAAAGAATCTTGTCTAAATTTTTGTGATTTATGGTTTTCTTTTGAGATATATTTGATAATTGATGGGTTTGTGTTGGTTTTTTTTTTTTTTTTTAAGGACTGATTCATTATAAAGCAAAATTTGATCATGGGAAATCTCCATGCTTTATTTTATTATTATTCTTTTGATGCCTCCATTTCTATCTACATTTATTTTAAATTTTAGGTTTGACCATGGCTTTCTTCAAATCAGTGATTCCCAAAATCTGCATATCATGTTGACAAAAAAAGATTCATGAAGATAATGTGGCAAGGGCAATAGGAACAAATAGTCAAAAACAATACCAACAGATATAAAGGTTGCAGCACATTTTTATTAATAAAGGTCTTTTATTTCCTGCATTTTTCAGGAAGAGAAATAGGGGAACAGGCTGTGACAATAGAGCCCTCTGAAAAACTGCATTTACATTCAACTTTCAATTTTAATGCATCTATAAATCACACACACCAAAGGATGATTTCACAGAGAAATTCTAAACAAATTTCCAAGCATAGAATTTAAATATAAATAGCATGCACACCTCTTTCTAGCCCTCTGTATAAGGTATTCCATTTTTTTAATGCTTCTATCAGTTTGCAAGACTATCAAAGATATATTCACGGTCAAAGATATCTACACTAACAAGATAGCATATCAGCATATGTTCTGAACTATACATTGTTCAAGATTTTTTTTTTTTTTTTTTCCGAACTATACAATATGATTATCTTGTATGTTATACTATAAGCAGTGATTGATGACCTTTTTATTGAAATCTATATATAATTAATACCTTTTGTAGTGTTCTTAACAAAAATACACATTTGTAAATATATAATTCATTTAAAATTTGATTGGTGTTACCATATACTTGGTTCAAGATAGTACAGTTTTGTATTCATTTATAGAAATAACTTCTTTACAAAGTACATAGGAAGATAGAATATAATCTAAACTAGGAAAAAGATAATTATATATATACTCTTTAACCCTATTTCAGAATTTCAAAATAATAATACCAATTTGAATGATTATTAGTGATGTATACAAATCCTAGCATTAATAAAGTTTAAAATGGCAAGTAGCTTGTAGCTCAAGGGCGCCTGCCTCTGTGGCTCTCCCAAATGGGGTTCGTATACTACGTTATAATAGAGTCAGTAGTACTTAAAAATAATAAAGTTTACAATGAAAATTATTAAATAAAAGGATTGAAGCATTCTGTTTACACACATACTGCTAGTAATTAAGCTGAAAAGCTGATTTCCTCAAATAAAAAAGGCATTCTATATAACAGAGTATACACCATCGAAACAACCCCGCGAGATGGTGTAAGATACTGAATTTAAAGAAATATAGAGATTAAAATAACTCAACTCACCGCTTTATATGATATCCACACGACGATGTGTGTGGTAAGACTTAAGAGCAGATTTTTATGCCATAAACAGTTGTTTCCTCCCCGCACAAAATACGATCAGAAATCTAGTGGCATCCAAAAGATATATGTTCGCCGTATTTAACTTCACTGCGGGTGCAACCCATCCGGAACAGAAACTGATTTGGAATTTCGAATTGGTTATTAGGTCAGTTGTAGATCGAGTTTATCAGACTAAAGCAGAGATTAAAGATGGCGGACGAAAGGGTAGCTCATCTCTTAGAAATTGTTGGATTTCGCGGGGATGGTTTATTGCAGAGAGTAAGGAGGCGGAGAATGTTGGGCTGTGTTTTGAATCCCCAAGGACCCCAACCCCCCAAGAACCTCATGCTTCATTCTCATGTAAATGAGTTTTTTGCACTTTTGTTCTCACGACTATAATGGCACTAGCAGAATTTGATCCATAACTTTTGAATCTTGTAATTTTAGTCCACGATTATTGATTTTTTTGTAAAAATGGTCTTTCCAGTCACTTTTCCTTCAAAATTCTATCGGAAAAAAAATTCTCTATTTTTAACAGGGCTAAAATTGACATTTTACTTATCTCAACAAAAAAAAAATAATAATAAGCGATTGCATTTGAGAATCTCCGCCGCTTCTCTCGCCGAAAATCTATACAGCGAAGCTTTTCCGATGTGTTCGAATGATCCGGCAGGCGTGCTGGCTCCGCCTCCAATGCTGCTACCAGATAACCCAACTAGTCCAGGGAACGCCACGCCCGCTCCGCCGCTTACTGACAGCCCTGCCTGCTCCAGGAACTCCGCCGCCTGGGGCAGTAGTATGTAGCCCAGTAATATTGTATGTAGTCAAATGTCAATTTTTTTTTTTTTAGATAAGTAAAATGTCAATTTTAGCCCTGTTAAAAATGGATAATTTTTTTCCGGTGAAATTTTGACGGAAAAGTGACCGGAAGGACAATTTTTACAAAAAAATCAATAGTCGTGGACTAAAATTGCAAGGTTAAAAAATTGTGAATCAATTCTACTAGTGCCACTATAGTCGTGGGACCAAAAGTGTAAAAAACTCTCATGTAAATTATGGTAAGTCAACTAATAACCATTATAATAAAAAAATAGTGAAAGGGTCGGTTGGAACCCTAAGTAACTTGTAAATATATGTTACCTATCACTTTTTGAATTTTTATGCTTCAAAATAATTTGTTTATAAATTTAATTACAACTTTTAAAAGTTTAAAAGTGACTTTTTAAGTAATGTTCAGAAAACTATTTAACCCTTTTTCTCGTGGGAGATCTTATAGGAGTTGAAGAGACAGAAGAAAAAAAACCAAAGTTATTTGGTGAGAATATATAAAATAATCGTGTCAATACAACTTTAACCAATTTGTATACCATGGATCAAAGTTCACACTACACTATGGACCATGGTTCATGTGTATGTATTTTGTGTTGTGATTTGATGCCTTATGTTATGAAGTTATGTACATTTAAGAGTACGAATTTTGTACATTACGAGTATAAATTCTGTACCTCGTTATTTAAATTCATGATCCATAATGTGTATAAATTCTATACCTTGTTACTTTCTGTCCATAATGCTATGTGAACCCTGATCCATGATATAAATTGCTAATTTGAACAAGTTACAATAAATTAAACACCCTAATCGTACAAGAAAATCTACATTTCTCACCCAAAGACAAAGCCTAGCTACATATATACAATTCATACTTTGACATTTGATCTCTAAGACCCATGAAAAACCAGGGACAAAAAAACAAATAATAGGCCACACTAACTATAACGTAAAAAGAATTGTAAATAATAAAAATATACTCTCACAACTGCCAACAACCTAGCCTCAACCGTGGTAACATTTATTCACAGCCGAAATCAAATAGCGCCAGCCAGCCAGCAGCTCAAGCACGGTTGAGGAAATATAAAATATGGGCGATGTATCCAGCCTCTGGGGAAGCAGCATAGCCATCTGAGGAATCAAGAAAAGTGAACTTGATCGATTTAGATGAAAATGATAAAATTATAACAATCACAAATTAAAAGCAAGTGGCACAAATCAAGAGATGCATAATCATTAATCAATTCCAACTATATATATGACATGCATTCCAATTACACCATCCCATCAATCAATCAATCATGAGCCCGCATCAAAATGTGCACAAAACCATTCAAATAACAATCAGCGTTCAGCAATTGGACAACCATGTTCTTGTATATATTGTATGATAAAACACTTTCAATCAAACAAAAGGATTAAGGATTAGGAGTTCATTTTAATCAAAATTCTGTGGTTAGCAAAAGGTAAATAGGTAGAAGTACAATAAGGAGAAACCATAAAATGATGAAGGCATGTTCCAATGCAGCATGGGTGTATACAAGTTAGTAGAAAAGGTCAAAAGGATAGGAACAAAGGATGAAAGGATGTATGTATGTGTACACACACACACACATATATATAGCCTAGGGGGTGTAAATCAGGATCTCTGCCAGTTTCAACATGCAGGTAACTCAACATAGAGTGAAAAGACAATTGTAGATAGAGAACCATGAGAGATTTCGAACTAAAAATGGGATTCACTTACCATTTGTACTTGCAGCAACACTTCTCAAAGCCGCCTGCCTATATAGCGAGGAGAAGCTGAACCTGAGGATGAGGTAAGTGGTCGTTTCACGAATGGGTGGTCCAGTAACTGAGAAGCATTTGGACGACAATTTGGGTCTACTTGAAGACACTTATGTATAAAGTTTCGTGCATCCTTTGAGAGCGTATTAGGCACATGAGGTGGCTCACCCTGTCCAATCTTATACAGTGCCTGCATGGGCTGTTGCATAAAGAATCTACTGTCAGTCTCCAAACTATAATATAATTATGTTCAGGCAGAAGTCAATCATCTAATTCTATTGTAAAAGTTGTCATCATTGGGCTGACCAGGGGGAAGTATCATCCCATGTATTTTTTAAGAAACATCAAATTGTGTATCCACCATGTTCAAAATAATATGCTTTGTATATCTATATCCACGGAATATAGTAAAACTCCATTAATATGTAGTAGTCATATCCATTCTAGGTAGTCAAGATTCAAGAAAGCATTATTATATTGAGCATATAAATTCTGCAACTGGTGTTTCATAGCCTTTATAGGCAATGAATGATCAATTTATCCAAATTAGCTACAAATCAAATTTCAGTATATAGCAATAAGCTACTGCTTCTAGCTCCTTTCAGTAAAGGAATCCCATTAAAAAAATGTCCCAGCTATTATAAATAATTTGTGTGAATAAACCTGTCGAGGATAGTACTATAGTAGAAAAGAAAACAAAAATATTGGAGGCAACAGATTAAACAGTTCTGCAGTTTTCTACACAGAACGATTCTGTAAAATTATAGGAGTATATATTGTTCAGGCAGGACAATAAAAAAAAAAAAAAAAAAACATAATTCCCAACTACAAGTTATATTGTTATATTAGCCAGCATATTATGAAAGTAATCATAACCACATACATTTTCTAGAGTGGAGTAAGGGAACTGGCTTGTAAGCATCTCCAAGACAGTGCAGCCAAGGCTCCATATGTCTGCAGAAAGACCATAGCCACCACTCCTCGGATTAACAACCTGTAGCCATAAATTGATTATCAACTTAAAACTCAATTCCATAACTTATCCAATGAAATAAAGGAAAGGATTCCCAACTTAAGAAACTACTAACTTGAATTGCAAGGCAAGTAAGAACTCTTAAGCTAACTAGAAAATTGTTAAATAACTTATTTCTGGACCTATGACTAAGGTTTCTGGAATGTTATTTTTTAAATAGCATGTTGCCAAAATGTCCTTTACTCAATTATTTTTCCTTCACAAAATAAATAAAATTCAACCAGCTGCTTATGAACCAAAAAATAATATGATATCTGATCCTGAATACAATAAATATAAGCTGTAAATCCTGATCAACAAAAACCAAAGACTTCTCTTTTGTCGTACACGGATTCTGCATCAATACCTCAAAAGTAGAGTACTTCTCAATTTTGAAGTTATTGCTATATCTAAATTTATTAAGGGGATGCAATCAAGTAAAAAAAGATGTACTTACAAAGCAGCCTTTTATAAAATACCCCCAGCTAAACAAGGAAACAATATACTCCTAAGAGTTTTAACTATTACATGTGTATATTCTCGTACCAAGAAAAAAAAATAGCTAAATCTGATCAGAATCATCATGTGCCTATGTAAAATGCTTAAAGCTAGAAATCAACTCACTAATTCAAGATCTATGAAAGGGAAATATCTCCACTTAATTATAGGTATGGCATGATGTAGTTAATACTTGATACAATACAAAGGAACAATTTTTTAAAAACCTAACACTGCCAGATTATCAATTTATTCAGTCAGATCCAATTAATCTATCCAAATAAATGCCTGTCCATTTAATAATTTATGTAATATAAACTTTCTACACTATGTAAATGTAATGAAAGAATCAGGACCAACCTCAGGAGCCATCCAGAAGGGAGTGCCCTTGCAAGACTTCACATTATTCAGTTTAGTGGCCTGCATGATGTATTAACTGCAATATCAGGCTTATAGCATCCTAAGAAGCTTTCAAAAATTAAATAAATATAAAAAAATATTTAAAATTCTGCTATAGAAGACCATAATGACACCATAGGTAGTGCATAAAGGAGGTTAGAAAATACGCATACCTTTGCAAGGCCAAAATCTGCAAGTTTTACTAACCCAGTAGTATCCACCAATATGTTTGCGCATTTAATATCCCTAGAAGACAAATTAAGGAAGACTTCAGAAACCTACTTAAATTGGATTCATTTACACTGAGAATTGTGACTACCATTTTGTAATTTTAAAAAAATGAATTAATAAAAATCAAAAGAAGATTTAAAAAAAAAAAAAATTATTGTTACATCACAGGGGGTTAGGGGTTGAACTCTTAATCTTGGATCTAGGATGCTGGATTCCCCGTCTTGAACCACTTTAGACAAGGGTAATAGGGCAAATACTTGTTTGAGCAGTCGCACACAGAGCTGGTTCAAGTTGATCAATGATGATACATCATAATACAATGCCCTATCAATTATGTTCTAATAATGTTCAGGGAACAGTACCACTGAACATCATTAATAGGGTCAGACAAGTACTGTTGGGGTAATAGCGCTTCATAAGATTTAATCTTAAAGGCTGAAAAACACATTTTGGTTCCACTATCCACTACAACATCATTGCATTTTAGGACAAAACTAATACAGTAATAGAGATTATTCTCTAAACCAGGATTTGAAATCCAGATCAACAATCCTAATTAAGAATAACATTTGTGGTGTTCAGATAGTTTAAATATCTAGTTTGCCTCCGAATCTTACTGATTCTCTTTTCCTTTTCATCCTCTATATCACATACATTACACACTGATGTTTTCAATATGCTACACCATTGTGTATTTACTGTTAAATTAAATTAAGAACACTAATGAAATATGTAAACTGTTAATCAGCATTTTAGTTTTGGTTCATCGACATATATTAAAACCTGTTAAACATGTGAGGAGAAGAAGAATATGGCATGAGAAATTGTGAACATTTTAATAGTTTCATCACCTGTGGATAACATTTTGATTGTGTAAATACTTCAGCCCATGCAAAATCTGCCTTGTGTAAGCAGATACCTGGGAATCTTGAAGCTTATACTTTTTATACAGCTTCAAAAGTGATCCCTGAGATACCAGCTCAAGAAAAATATATAGTTTTGAACCATCCTGCAAAAAGGATGACAAATAAAACAAAATAAGATTTGGAACCAGAGACTTGCAAAATACAAACTAATAATCTAAAAGGCTATTCAGAAACTTAAACTGTAAATAAAGCTGCAACGGAAGTCATAATACACACAGGACATGTGAGAATTTTAGTGAGGAAGAAGTGTAGAACGAACTCCTAAATAAGAGGCAGAATATCAATACAAGAATTGCCAAGATTGAAGTCAGGGATCCACACAAAATTCATATTTCTTTGAGAGCAGAACACCAATACGAAGTACAATGGCAGCTGTTTTATCCCAATACTACCAATGCATGAGGTATATTTATCACAAAGTTGCTTTACTTTCAAGAAATATGCCATGTATTAGAGTGCAAGACCTTTAGCACAAATGGTTTGCATGTAAAAGATGAGCAATCAGTGATAACAAGAAAGAAAAATTTTATGCTTCGGTAGAGAGTGCCAACATAGATTACACTACAAGAGAGAGAGAGAGAGAGAGAGAGAGAGAGAGAGAGAGAGAATTAGCATGAAAGCAAAAGAGGCATTACCTTCTCTGTACCATAATATTGGACGATGTTCTCATGTTCAAACTGCCTTAAGAGATCAATCTCCTGATTAAGTAAAAGAAAAAGAACAGATATAAGTAAAAGCAAACAAAATTTAGAATTTAAAACTGCACGCTATTTGAAAGAGAGAGAGAGAGAGAGAGAATGGGGGGATGAGGTATACTCTTGTTTGGATGAGAAAGAAAAATGGAGAGATTATGAGTAGAAAATAATATTATATCCTATCAAATATTTTTCCTTCTCAATACAGGAAGATAATTACAGCCTCACTTCCTCCCTCAACAGACTATACATTTAATTTAGATCCTATCTCCCTCTGAATGCATGAACCATGATGCCTCCACCACCTCCATTTCTCACCCATACCTCTCTCATTTCCTCTCATTTTCTTTAATCTCATCCAAACACAAACTTATTCTCCATTTTCTCTTCCCCCTAATTTCTCTCCACTTTCTGTCTAACATCTGAACACAGAATAAGAATAAATGAATACAGAACAGGAGGAACCACAGGATTATTGGTATTAAATAATTATTACATGTAATTGCTGTGATTGAATGTATACTAACCTGTTCAAGTTGGTAAATGCGTTGCCTTCCCTCCTCACCTTGCTCAAGCAAAGACACTTCCTTCACCGCGAAAAAGAAGCCACCACTGCACAAAGTAAATCAAAAGAAAAGGACCTGAGATCAATAATTGCACCACCTACATAATTGAAATGATGGTTCATATGATAATGATTCTGTTTTTAAAATTTTACTAACAAGGTTTAGTAAAATTAGTCTGGTTTTGAAACCCAAACACACCCGGTGTTTTTTGTTTACTCCAAGAACGTATACAAGGAGGACAAGTAGTACTTTTTGATGAGATAAACCCTATCAGAAACATACTGAAGAAAAATTCACTACTTTCCTCATCTTCTTCCCATTCTATTGGCTTTAGAGGCGAAGAAGCAGAAAATACTCCCTCCATGACCATGGAAGTCCACATGAATGGCAATCTTGCTTCTTCCTCTCAAGCCTTGTTTTTATTCATCCCTCTAAAACCCTCATTTTTTTAATGCAAAAGAATACTTGAAAAAAGAGTGAAGGATATAAGATATTACAATCTAGAGCAAAAGAAGTCTATAGAAAAAATGAAATGGAAGAAAATAAAAATAACATTTCAAAGTTTCAAAGGTCATCATCTCAACTAAGTGACTAACATTCCCAAGATCAATAAAGATCTAAGTGCTGTACTTTAAGATATATATATATATATATATATATATATATATATATATATATATATATATATATATAACATTCTTTTCTCTTGTTCTAGCTGGTGAGCTGGTCTATACATTTTCTCCATGTGTAACCTCTTATATTAGTTATATAGTCTTCCATATATATAGTTTAGTTACTCTCACCACTTGCTTTGCTTCCTTAGCAAATATGGCATCACCTACTTTCAAGTTTCAATCTCTGTTATGTGATCTGTATAAAATCTTAATCCTAAGGTAAGAAACATCTTCCCTAATCGATTTATGCCATCAGACATTTGCAATAATTATTTGCTCCATAAAAATAGCTAAGGTGTTGTAAATTATTCATACTTCTAGTATCAAGAAAACAGAGATAAGTAACATAGTGACACTTACTCTGCAATGCCTTCATAGACTGTTCCGAATGATCCACTTCCCAAGGGTTGACCCTTCTGCCAACCCGTAATAATGCGCATGTATTTTCCATTCGGAGAGACGACAGACATAGGCTCAGTGGTGGTGCTAGAACAATCATCATCGTTAGAATTTGAGGTAAATGAACATGATGCTGAGAGCACACCGTTCATTATTCTTGTCCCTACATCATTTTCCACCTCCTCATCTTCCCCGGCATCATTCTGAACACCCCGAAGGGTTCGAAGCGTAAAACCCAATTCCCCGTCATCCTTGGGCCCAAACGAATTCACAATATCCCACGTTGAACATGCATCATCAGGGACTGGTAATGACCTAAACGGTGGAGGAGCCAGAATAGGAGGCCTGGCACCTTTAATGCCTCCACCACCATCATTACAAGGAATTAATATGGAAGGCTCGGTTTCATTGGAAATGACATTATTACTCCTAACACTATCACCTAATCTACTTACTATTCCACAAACCGCAGCCTTCTGGCACGAGACGATGCCACCAATATCACAATCAATATGACTTTTACTTTCAATACGAATCTTAGAATTTTCAGAATCATCAGCCTCAATTCTCAGACTATCTTTAACAGGGGGAGGGGTATCCGAAGACGAGCTCGAATTCGAGGCCTCCAATTTAGCGACGGGAATCTCGAAGTCCTCCATAGAAACCCCCAAACGGGCCAAACATCTGAAAACATCGTCAATTTCGCCACCGGAGCCGTCGATTCGGATACTCTTACTGCCGTCCAGTTCCAGCGATCGGCTCCACTTACTGTCCAGCTCCAGCGACCGGCCAGTACGGGAAGTGGAGCCATCCCCGGAAGAAGATGAGGTAGACGGCTCGTAGTCGACATTCCTCAGAGCGATGCTGCGCTCGAGCTTCGGCGAAGGCTTGGCGGCAGCTGATTTAGATCCGCGTCTTGACTTGGAGTCCATGCGCTTCTTAGGAACCAAGATCGAAGGTAACCGATGCATCTCGATTCCAAGGTCGAGCTCGATCCATGTAGCGGTACGCCAATTGCTCAAAGGCAGAATTGAAGTAGCAACAGTAATCCGTTGGAATTTCCTAATCTTTCGGAACGCACCGGCGCAATTTGGTAGAGCTCAGGAAATGGGGAAGAAAGTGAAATGAAATCGCCGGCGGCGGTGATGAGAGAGAAAGAGAGAGAGCAGAGTAGCAGACAAGAGACTGGTAAACGCCGTGGGAGATAGAAAGATGAGAGAGAAAACGCGGGGTTTCAACTTTTCCGTGTGATTTTTTGTGTTGGTGATAAGACTTGAGAGAGAGAGAGAGGGGTTGACCAGCTGTCCCGGTTGCCGTTTCCTATGATTGGTCAATTATGGCCCTTTCCTCGTCCTTTTTCTTTCTTTTCCCGGTATCTAATCATCATTTTTTTAAAAAAAAATAACACATTCAATTTGACCAATTTATATCCTATACCCAATCTATCTCATGCCTACTAAAACACTAATGTTTGTGCTCGGGATCGAACGAATATATTGTTGCTGGTCGGGGTGGGCAATCAGTTAATCAAACCGTTTTAAAGCTTTAACCGTTGAATCAAAGTTTTGTGAAATTTTTTAAGTTAAAGTTTTAAATCCTTAAAATAATACATATAATCTTTTGTGGCTTCGGGGAAGGTCATAGGATCGAATTTCAGTGGTGGGATATAAAACCAGTAGTTTAAGAAAGTATAGAACATATACTACCTTGTAATAGAGTCAATAGTTTAAAAAAATACTTATAATAATAAATTCATAAGAAAATATATAACCACAATACCATAACAACACTCCAAACATAAAAACACAAATATAAAGTCCAAACATCCATATATATTTAATTATTATTATTATTATTATTATTATTATTATTATTATTATTATTATTATATATATATATATATATATATTTGGTTAACAGTTCGGTTAACCGATAGTTTCGAATTGAATTAACCATTAATCAAAATTTTACAAATCTTTCAATCATTAACCGAATCGAAGTTTTTCAGTTAAAGAACAGTTAACCGAACTTTCATCAAAGTTTGCACATCCCTAATTGCTGGAAGCAAATCTTAAGTGAGATTTTGTAGCTTTCGGCGTCTATCTCTTGCAGCCCAAAGAGTCAAGGGAGGCGGAGAGCCCCTAAGCACAATATGTATTCTTATTATCTTATCATCACAATTATAATTTAATTTATTTTTCAACAATTTCAACTCACCTTCAAAATATAATATAATAGTATTAATATTTAACTTTAGAAGTTCTCTCCAGTCGTCGGAAACCAAAGAGCAGTGCTCGCGACTGCTCTCTGGTGTCTGGCCAGAAACCATAGATAGTGTTCGTCGCAGACCAAATAATTCTTTGCGATCTGGAAAATAACTTTCCAAAAAAAAAATAGTCATTTTACACCAAAACAAGGCATTTTACATTGACTAGGAAAATGTTTCCCTTTTGACTTTAATTTTTCATGGGTTACCAAACACTGAAAACCCGAAAATCATATTTTATAAATCATTTTTCGGGTTTCTACACACCCTAAATAAAAAATGAGATCACATTATGGAGTAATTTGTAAATGAACTACTATTATAACGGCACGATCAAAAGATTATCGTGGATAGGACAATGGATGTTATACATATGAAAAAATTATAACTCTTTACAAAAATTGTGTTATCATTTCCGCTTATACTAAATCTTATTAGCATGATATAGTCTATACATATCTTTTAAATTTAACAACTTCATATTAAATTTGAAACATTTTGTCTAATTTTATTCAATGTGACTATCCAATTCAATACTTCATAAATAGTAAATATAATGTTAATTGAGTCGAATTTTTTTTAATATGATAGTAAGATTAAATATAACATTATATTAAAAAAAAATTAAATTAACATGAAAATTTTAAACTTAAAATATTTGGATATGATTATCGCATAAAATTTGAACTTTTTCACTAATTATTATTATTATTAGTATTAATTAATTAATTAGTTAATTAATTATTAACAACAAAGTTTATTATTGGTAATAATTTATTTTGTGTTGGCGGCTAACAATGAGGGTTTTCGTGATATTTTATATCATGTTTAGTGGTTTACGGAATACGGACTAAAATGTTGGTCTCTTCCGTACTACTGTATCCAACTCTCCAAAAAGTCAATAATTTTAATTTTAGATGGTATTTGATTGACTGAATGAAACATACGGAATATGGGTAGGAACTATGAATTTAGAATGAATGAATATTTTTGTTCATTCAATTCATTACAGATTAATATATAAATAATGGTATTTTTGCATTTGATTGACTTCAACTTCACTTAATTAATTAATGAATTAATTAGTGTGTGTTTGTTAGAGAGGGGTTGTCCTCACCCAATTGTTATGTCATGGATGGTAAACACGGTCCCAACGATGTTAGTACACCGTTATTTTTTTTTTTCCTTAATTAATAGCGTGACTTTTCTTCTTCATTTTCACATTTCGCGATTTCACTTTAATTTGAGGTGAGCAATGATTTCGGATATTCATAAATTATGAATCAATGCCTGCACATTCACTTTGGAACCATGCCTACACATTCCCGTCCGAAACCATGGCTGCTCCACTGTAGCGCAAGCTTCTTCAACATTCATAAATTATGAATTTTCTGTTATGAGATTATGAATTTAAAGTAAATTCATAATCTCATAACAGAAAATTCATAATTTAATAACTGTTTTTTTTTATGCGATTATGAATTTTCTGTTATGAGATTATGAATTTACAGTACATTCATAATCTCATAACAGAAAATTCATAATCTGACCAAACGCGCACCATTAACACCACATTAGCGATTTTTTTTTAACGTAAAAACGGCGCCTTTGGACCCGTATTCACCATTCATGGTGAACACATTTCCAATGCATAATTTGCCGTCCTCACCCCATTGAGAAATTTCGGGATGTAATAAAAATTTAAGTATTAAACTTTGAATCTTGAAAATACTTGAATTTCATTCAATCACCAAATACAATACAAATAATCATTATTCTTCAAAATAATAATAATAATAATAATAATAATAATAATAATAATATCATATTATTATATTTTTTGCAGTTGGTGGCCACTATCCCACAATCGTTATGCTGCTGCGAGCACGTGCTCACCTTGCATGGTGCGCACAAATCTATATTCATAATTTATATACTGTAGATCCATAATTTCTATACTGTATATCCATAATTTATAGACTCTCGGTGAGCTAAAATTTATACTTTAGATTCATAATTTTTAACCACGAATGTATATCCATAATTTCTACTCCCGGTGAGCTAAAATTTATACTTTAGATTCATAATTTCTAACCACGAATGTATATCCATAATTTCTATACTGTAAATTCATAATTTCTAGATTGTATATCTATAATTTCGAGAGTCTCAGTGAGCTAAAATATATACTTTAGATTCATAATTTTATCTCACCGAGAGTCTAAAAAATTATGAATACACAATATATAAATTATGAATCTACAGTATAAAAATTATAGATATAGATTTGTGTGCATGGTGAACACGTGCTCACATCATAATTTGCCATTATCCCACTACTTGGTTATGTACAATAAACTTTATGTATAGATATTTAACAATTATCAATGAAAGAAGATAGGGGGCGTTTGGTTCACGTTATATTACATAACCAAGGGAATGTGACATCCCCGGACTTATATTCCTATGTTTAGTTCATATTCTCTGAGGGAATATAACATTCACAAGGAATGTAACATTCCTGATGACATTTGATCCTGTCTATTAATCAATTGAGTCACCATGATTTACATCATCCCACATGCTCTGTCAGGTCGGAGTTTGGGGGCCCTTAGGGTTGAGAATTCAACTTTTGGGATAAGAATATATCTGATTTCATAATTCAATCAAGATACAAACTGACTGATATTACATTGTAAAGAATCATAAATGTTTTTTTTTAAAAAAAAAGAATTGATTCACATTATTCGATTAACTAGAATGAACGAATCTCACTACCCTTAATAAATATATCTTCTTCAAACTCTCATGCTTATTAGCCAGAGAAACAATTTGAGTCATGCGTTTTTCATTTGAATTTCCTTGTTGACTTTTTTCAACCTCATTTCACGTTTTTTTTTTTTTAAATTGTACTTTTCGTCCCTAAGTTATATAGTAATTGTAGAATTCATCCATGAGTGTAGTCATACTAACTTTTCGTCCCTAAGTTATCATTATCATTGCACTTTTCGTCCCTGAGTTATAGAGTAATTGTAGAATTCGTCATGAGTGTTGGTTATGCTCACTTTTCGTCCCTAAGTTATCAGGGACGAAAAGTGCAACGCCAATGATAACTTAGAGACGAAAAGTGCAATGCTAATGATAACTTAGGGACGAAAAGTGCAATGCCAATGATAATTTAGGGACAAAAAGTGAGCATGACCAACACTTATGGACGAATTTTACAATTAGCCTATAACTTAAGGATAAAAAGTGTAATTTTTACTTTTTTTTTAAAATGAAATTTTGGTCACCCAATTATCAGTTTCATGTGTATCATTTATTACAATTTCTCACAACCTCTAATTCTTTCATGTTCCCTTTCACCCCATAAGGCTATAATATCTCAAAGAATAAATTTATATTAGTACCCCTTATTTATATCTAGATTTTTATGTTTATTGGGATGCACTACAAATATTATACTATTAGTTTTATCAGACAAAACTATACTACACCATTAAACTTTCATTAGTATATATTAAATGCTATTATAATTAAGTATATTTAACCATTTATCATATCTAAAATTCTTATTTTAACAATTATTATCTAAATTGTCAATTATACTTTTTTCGCACTTTTGGATCCACGAGTATTATGACACTAATAGGATTGCTCCACAGCTTTCGAACCTTACAAACTTGGTCCACGACTATATATATATTTTTTTTTTTAGAACAAATCGGCTCCATTGATTAGTAGTTGTATACTTGTATAACACAAAACATATTGTATGTCTTATTTTATGAATTTATGAGTTGTATTATGCAATTATGTGCATATATGACATAAATTATTATTTACATAAATCAGATCTAAGAATAAGTAAAATATAAAACGTGTATGTATATCGTGTTATGTGTTTCTGTACATCATGGTACGAAATTATGTACATTAAGCGTAAGGATTCTGTACATAGAATAAATTAAAATTTTGTGTTGAAACATGAGAAACGAAAAGTTACGGAA